TCAAACATAGGAAAGTGACCAAACCTTTAATATTTCAAAGGAAATGTCTTCACACACAGTCAAGCCTCCAGAACTCCATGGAAAAATTATTTTGAAAATCAACTTTGAGGTTTGAAAACAACGGCCAAGTTGCTGTTTATTTTACACAGTTCTATATGGTTTGAATCTCTTTACATGGATATGACAATCAAAACTTTTCTATTTGGGGGAAAAAAATAAAATACTGAGTTCTACAGCTTTCCCCCAACCCAACTCGTAAAAAAAAAAAAAGGAGGGGGGGTGGCAAAGAGAAGAGAAAAGCCTGTGGGAAATCTCCTTGTACACTAGGGTTAGAAACCATGGGGAATCCGCTAGGGGCGTGAAGATCGGGATCACCAGGCTAACCTGACCACACTCAGATCAGAGCACAGCCGCCAAGCCGGCTTTCCTGGGATCCCCACCTCGCCCCTGGAAGAGCATCCCCTCCCATCCCCATCAGCGGTTTCCTGCCACATCAGTGTCTGTTCCACTTTTGCTGGTATGAGCCCACTCCTCTTTCTTTATCTGGTTAGAATGTGTATCACCACTTAATTTAAGGTGTTATTCTATTCCCAACTTTAACTTTAAAATCCAGTCATTGATATTTTATATTCTACATGGTATCTGAAAAAATATAGAACTCAGGTCCATACAATGTTTAGGAAATGTCATTCATCCTTTTTCACCCTCTTGACCATGAGATGATTTCCGAAGGTTCTCCCACCAATGCAGAGCTGAGGTGTAGAAGTCTGCAATTCTGGAGACAAGTAATGGGGCACAACAGCCAGGTGCAGGGGCAATACACACGTCTATCATTTAACTCTGCTCCAGTCGGGCCAGTTCTTTAACTGTTTTCCTATCTCAAAAGTCAGGTTATGAATGATGACCTCAAACAGTGCTTAGGAAAACCAAATGACATATTGTCTGTTAAGTACAAAGCAGGAAATAATGAAAAACTCAATTGGCATTTATGGCCACAAGAAAGCTGACTTTGATCATAAAATGTCTTCACACACTTCTGAGACAGAGGCTAAAAGCCCCACTGGTTAACCAAACAGCATTAACCACCAGTGTCCTGAAATAGCTTGTTAATTAATCAAGAAACCAGAGGGCTAAGAGTCTAAAGTACAGTGCTGTGGGCAGAGTGGAAATTTAATAACAGTTGTTGATCAAATACATGAATGTCTTCATGTCCCCAGGAACCCAGAAAAATGTCTTAACCAGAGGGAACGGATTCATGACATTTGTGCCACAGTTTCCTATATGGAGCCTAAGCCCAAAACATATCAATACAAGCTTATTTTATCACTGCATTTCCTCCCTAAGCCAAAATCTAGCATCAGAATCCTCCTCCATACCTCACCCTTGCAGTCACTGCTGATCAATTGGTGTAGACACAGAATAAAATCTGTTTGCCATCATTGACATGCATCATGGTACTCACCCAAACCCACCCAAGCTGAAGCCAAAATGGCCAAGAAATAAATTACCCCCTAAAACCCAGCGGTGGTCACCTCAGATTTCTCAGTCTTGCCGTTCATTACACTACAGTCAACTCTGAACACTGAAACACTCTTCCAACTCAGGGTGTGCCATCTGCTCACAGTCACACTGTTGACAGTATACAATTCTCTCAGGCCACCAAGAGGAAGGGAACATTTTACAGGTTACTGGCAAGAGAAGTTTCTGTCGACCCCTGCTTTCAACTTTTCTCCGCCAGTAAAAAAAAAAAAAAAAAACTGTCTCCCTTCGGCTGTGAAAACCCTGCTCTCTCCCAGGCTCAGCTAGTCCAGCACACCGTCGGCTCCACGCAGCACAGCACAGGTGCTCCAGGTTTGCCTCAACAACCACATTTTAAGCTTTTTCAACTGATTCTCAGTCAGACAGGTACCTCGTCCCCCCACAGTACAGCCTCCCTGCATGAGGGTTTCTGTGCATTCCCCTTTAGAGATGTGTGAACTCCCAGCTCGGCTTCCCCAAGGTCTCCTACTAGGTGCACGGGCAGCACCAGGAGCCAGAGGCAGACCTTCTGTCCCCAAGACCTGAGTTCTTTCTTGAGCAAGGACCATGCTGCCTCCCACAGGAGCTGGTACAGCTATCCTGGCACTGGGAGGGCTGGGGACCAAAACACGTCACTGTGTCCCACTGCCCTGGCAGGCCGGCGAGGCAAACTCTGGTCTGTCAGGTCTCAGCCGAAGTGTCACTCCTCAGGGAAGCCTTCCTCTTTGCCGTGTCCTGATACCCACAGGTGTCCTCCACATAGCAGGTGCTGAATGAATAAATGAATGAATGAACTAATAACTATATACCAGGCATATAGCTCTCTGAATCCCCTTCTAAAATCTGAACAATTTTTAAAAAGTCAGAGTGACATCAGAGGAATGGCAACGTGAGGGGTCTTTTTGGTCTCTCCCCTTGAAGTCTCAACGATCTGAACAGCTGTAACTCAACAAAGCATTCCCTACTCAGCACAAACAGGTCTGAGAGAGCCATGCATTGAAATATGAGGGTTTTTTTTTTTTAAAAAGGCAAGAGTTTTCGTAACAAATCGTCTTTGCCCATCCTTCAGCAGAGTGCCCACAATGCCGGCTGGAATATGTGTCACTGTTTAACACACCAGAGCCTCATCACCAACGTCACTGTGGCTTGTCTCCCCACCTCCCGCCCCAAGTTCACAAGATGTGTGCTCCCCAAGTAGAAAACAGGCCCCGGGTCACCACTCCTAGGGGAGTAAAGAGACACTGTGGAATTCCAGCAATGCCAGCTGCACATTCCCGGCACCTCCTCAAAGAGGATTTCTGCAAAGTGAACTCCAAAGCTAAAAACCCTCCTCTGGAATATGTTTTGTCTTCTGCAAAGCATCTCTCCTTAGTCACTGAAGGCACAATCAAGCCTGGGAAACCTGTCTGTCTTTGTCCTTATCAGGGAAAAGACTGAGGGAGTGAGCATCACAAGCAAACTCAGCCAAATCCAGAGCCTCCCTGGCAGGGTCTGTGGCTAGTTTGCAGCCTTCCCACCCCCGACAGGCATCAACTCACAACCAACCAACTCCCACAAATGTCTCAGCTCTTTGTATGGCATCCAGAAAGACTTCGCTGTAAATGACAGGCACCTGGAACTCTCCCCAGAAACCTAATGAAATCATACAGCGCAACTGTCAAAAACAAGTAGAAGACAGCACTGTGGAGTCACCCAAAATATTAAAAACTAAAATCTAAATAAACAACCTAAAATAGAAACCCTGCACATTCCCACGTGTGTAAGTGCACGTGTGATGTTCAGGATAGTTGTTACCCCCAAAGTTCACTGACACCCGGGACTCTGTTTCCCAGTTCAATCTTCCTCCCCAGAATTCTGCTGGGTGGACAGGAGGGGAAGGGGGACACAATCCCAGACCCCAAAGTCACATCACACATGCTACACCTGTTCTGGCCAGGTACTCAGGTAGCTGAAGAAAGGACCGTACTTTCAGATAATCCAAGCATTTCTGATTCCTGTAGGTCCCTCTCTCCTTTCCTAAAGCACTGCCACCCCAGCCCCACCTCCACAGCTGTCCCTGTCTTCTGCCCCAGTCCTCCTGGTTTCATACTTCCACATGGTTGGGCTCATGAGTATGAGAATCTAGTCATATTTGGAAGTTGCTATGGTTTGAATGCTTGAGTCCCACACCCCACAAATTCCTGTGTTAAAATCTGAGTCCCCAAAGATGCTGCTGGTAGGAGATGGAGCCTTTGGGAGATGGTTAGGTCATGAGCGTGCAGCCCTCGTGAATAGGATTAGTGCTCTTATGATAGAGACCCCACAGAGATCCCTGTTCTCATCTACCTTGTGAGGTCAAGGTGAAAAGGCACTGCTACAAACCCGGAAGAGGGCCTCACCAGAACGCCACATGCTGGTGCCTTGACCTTGAACTTTCAGCTTCCGGAACTGTGAGAAATAAACTTTTGTTGTTTATAAGCCACCCAGTCTGCGGTCTTTTGTTAGACCAGCCTAAAGGGACTAAGACAGAAGTGAACAGGATATAAACAAACACATATATTCAAATGAAATGTGTGTAGGACAGCCATTCACATCTACTTTCAAAGCAAGAACTTGTCTCCCTCCTGGGTCCAATTTCCCAAGTGCAGAACCCCGTCCTCTCTGGTCTCTGGGAGCCCAGGGGCAGAAAGGCCTGAGGCCAATGTTAGACCGGAAGCTTCTGCCTGCCTGCCTTCCTCTCCCCCAGGCCCTGGCACCGATGGGTAAAGGCCGCCAACACCATTATCTTTATTTTTTATTTAAATATCTTTACTTTATTTTACACAGATATCTACAGTAAGAACTTCCACAATTCACGATGTTTTTCAATCATCAGAAATTAAGTCGGTAATCGGAAACAAAGTTCCAGTTGTGTGAACAAACAAAAGTATTATTTAGTTCAGCCTTTTAGAGTTTGTCATATATTCTTTTATATTCAAATGAATACAGACATTTTAAAATTTTACTTTCTTAAAAGCATGCTAAACTTGAATAGCCCACTCAGAGCCATATTTTCTTTATTTTGTTAAAAAAAGCTTTCCATGAGCCCTTTGAGAAGACCTGGTCCTAGGAGTCCCTGTCCTCAGCTGCATCTCCAGTATTGAGTAACTGCTACTGCAGCTTTTCACAAGCTTGTATAATTTACAGATGCCTTTAAAGAAAAAAATTCTCAAAGACCTTTAGTGTTCACTTAATGTGCAAATATAAAGCTACTATAGTTTTTATGATACCATAAAGCCAAAACAAATCTGCATATTACACACGAATACAATTACAAAAGACACACCAATCAAATGCACAACACGAATTCCTTATACAGGATGTTAATTTTGCTGACAGAAATCACCACGCGTGGTGTGGACAGGAAGACCCCTGCCTAACCCGGGCAAGCCCTCCTAATCTCATCGCACCCCATCACCTTGTGAAATCTTCTGCTACCCTTTTTATTCAAACAACTACGATACCTTCATTCATGCAGTCTGCCATAAAATGTTGGATCTTCACACTTCTGTGTCCAATCCAGGTCAGTTCTTTTCCAAGAGTTCATGAAAATTAAAATGTTGTACCATAACCTGAAACTCAAACCATCATTAACGTGCCATCGGCACCAAGCAGTAGTGAGCAGTGGCCATCCAGCTCCTTTGGGGTATGCCAATTTTGTTTTCTTTAATCACAAAAAGCTTGTACTAAGAGCCTCCCACCATTCCAGGCACCCTTCTATGGCAGTTACCTGTACAGGCAGTCCTGCCCCCACAGAATTTGCATTCTAGCGGGGAGAGACAGAAAAGCAACAACTAGCCCACAGAGTGACAACCGCTATAAAGAAAACAAGGCCGGATAAGGAGAGAACAAGGTGGTGCTGGTAATGACGATCTGATTTAGACACAGATCGGTCAAGGAAGGCCTCTCTGAGAAGGGAACATCTGATGTGAAAGAGATGATGAGATCTTTGCAAGCTATGTACCAGGTAGAAAGAACAGCAAGTTTGCAGCTTCTGAGAAAGGAATGTGCTAGACGAGTTGGAGAAGCGGCAAAAAAGCCAACTTTGCCAGAGCAAGTGGGAGATGAGGAGGGGAAGACAGGGGAGGACAGAGCAGTGGGCAGGAACCAAATCATGAGGTCTGTGGATCTCAGTAAGGACTCTGGATCTTATCCCAAGTTGGCTGGCAAGTCACCAATAAAAGTCACGATGTTATTTAAAGCCAGGGCCTGGATGAGCTCAGCGAGGAAGTAATGCAGATAGAGATGTTAAGGACAGAGCTCCAGGGCCTTGCTGCACAGTGTGCTCTGGGCACCAGCAGTAATAGTATCACCCAGAAGCTTGTTAGAAATGCAAAATGTTGGGCCCCACCCAGACCCACTGGCTCCTTATCTGCATTAAACAAGATCCACAGGAAGGTCTAAACCCTAGCATTCCAACACTGAGAAATCAAGAAGAGAAGAAGCCAGCAGACAACTGAGAGGGGGCAGCCAGATGGGAGGAAACCACGGGGGTGTGGTGATGGCCTAGAACAAAGAAAAGCTGGTAGTCTATATTTTAAAAAAGAAGGAGTGGTCAAATGAGCCACACACTGCTCATAAGCTAATGAAGACTAGGGAGCAACCACTGCGTTAGGCAGGATGGAGATCGACGGTGACCTCGACAAGAGCTTTGTCACTGGAGCAAACATACAACCTGAGTGGCTAACAAAAGAATGGAGGAAAAACCAACTCTTTTAAGGAATGTTAGTTATCACGGAAATTAAATCACAAAATAAAGGCAGTCATGGAAAATTCAGATCCCACCTCCGCTGTGTTTCTTTCGCTCCCCAGGGATGTGTTCGCAGGGGTGGGGGCGCAGAGGAAAACGCAAGAGCTGGCTTTCACGCTCGAAGCACTCCGAGCCAGACCTTACTGAATTTCATGGGATATTGTTTTTACCCCTCCCTCGGGTAGTCACTTGCCTATTGTCCTGAGCTGCAGCTGAACCTCTAAGGGTGTGTACCAAGAGCAGCTGGAAGAGGTACAACCTGTGTTTAATTAAGACCATTTGCAGAAGCACACAGAAATACCTTTTTCATGCTGGGAAAAACAAAAACACTGGTGAAAGAATCCAGCTAGAAGGAAATAACACACTCCTTTCCCTCTCCTCTACAGAACCCCTGACCTATTAATGCTCACCCCCACCCCATCCCATCCTACTCCAGGCAGAGGCGAACCTACAGAGAATCATCTTCCATGGGTAGAAAGCCTTCCAGAGACCCTCTAATCGCCGCCCCCCCGCACCCCTGACTTCTGTGATGAGATGAGCCACTTCCCAGCTCCCTAGTTTTTAGACCCAAACCTCAGCTCTGGGACCCATTCCCCGAGCCCTCATCATCACTTCTCCTGCACCAGTAACGAAACAATAGTTCCAGTTTACTTTTCTGCACTTAACCCAATACCGACATGAGGTCCCTCATCTTTGTCTTCCTATCCCACAAGATGCAACCTGGGAGCAATTCTTTAATTTGCAGTAATAATAATGTAATTAACTCTTAGGCACTTGTACTATGCACTGAGTAGTCTTCTAAATGCTTGTATATTAAATATTAACCTATTCTGAACTGTAATGTCCAAACTAACCTCTGGACATCAGCCTAATGTTGAACAGTAACACACACACTCTAATTTGAGTGGTTAACTGATGACCACATAGGGAAAAAAATGCAAAACTAGAGAGTATTCAAATGTCTCAGCTTTCTTTGAGGGGATCAATTCAGAAAGATTTTGTGTCAAAAAACAAAGCATAATCTGTAGTCCTGGGCAGCTCCTTCCAGGGGGAGCCCCCTCTGCGTCCAAGCAGACGAACCAGCCCCGTGCTCTCTGACTGCTCCCAGGAGGCAGGAAGCAGACAGTCCTGACCAAACAGGCGCCACATTGTGAAATGAAATGGGCAATAAAAGTAATTTTTTCAAAACTCTAAACATGAAAAAAGAATGGAGAAAAAACTGAAAAGGAAAAGGAAGAAACACAAAAAGGAGACAATGAGAGGAAGTCCCTCCCTGGAAGTTAGAGATTTAAAAAAAAAATTGAGGGCCACACATTTCTCTGGAGCGTCAGGCTTTTTCCCTACATCAGTGACAGTGCCTACGACTTCTCCCCTTATAAGAAGTGAGCAATAGTTGTAGGGAGAAGACACAATGGCCTGTCTAAGAAAACTAAAAATACTAACCAATGACAGGAGAAATATTAAAACCCCACAATCAGTATCTAAGAGAAAAGTCTGCCTCAAGAAAGCCAACTCCTTTAACTTGCACCTTTTAACAATCACTCACAACCACACTGTGAGACTACAGTTCACAGAATGCTTCCACATTCTCGATCTTGGACAGGCCCCAGCTACTGGACCCAGGCCACACAAGACCGCATGGCGCTGTACAGCTGACTGCACTACAGAGCTGGAACTCAATTAATCCAGCCCCGAGCCCCCCATGCGTGCGCTCTACCACCCTTCTCAGCGTGCTTTCTGCTTTGAAAGCCAGGCCCTCCTGCTCTCACAGAGGCTTGGGATGTTTAGGGAAAGGGGTTATGATTTTCTCCAAGTAAGTGATTATACTCTTTCCACTAAGAAGCATTCCCTCAATCCTAACATCTGTTTTTGCCAAAAGGACCCATCTGATATCCTCGGACAATTTCTGGAGAGAGGCCTAACCCTGGAGTTCTAATACTTAAATGCACCGCTGAGAACATTACTGAACCCATCTCCTACCTCAGATGCTTAGGAGGAAAGAGGGGGCCCTTTGTTGTTGAAAGGTAGAAAGAGAATTGGAGAATTTAGTTTAAGAAAGGGCTCCTCAACAGCTCAGGGTGCCTATCCTGTTTCCACGTATAATGGTGTAGCAGTCTGTTCATACTGCAGACCAAACGCCATGGATTGGGTGGCTTAAACAACAGAAAATTTTCAACAGAAAATTCTGGAGGCTGGGAAGTCCAAGATCAAGGTGCTAGCTGGTTCAGTTCCTGGTCAGAGCTCTCTCTCCCTAGCTTTCAGATGGCAGGCTTCTCACCATGTCCTCTCATGGCCGTGTGTGCGTGGAGAGAGGAACCTCTCTCTTCCTTTTCTCCTAAAGCCACTAATGTCATCATGAGAACACCATCCTCCTGACCTCATTTAACCCTAAGTATCTCCCAGAGGCCCCACCTCCAAATACCATTGCATGGAGGGTTAGGACTTCAACACTGGCATTTGGGGAGGACACAAACATTCAGCCAATAGCAAAAGGGTAGGAACAAAAGGAAGCAGAGGAAGAAAAGGCTACAAGAATCCTGTCATGCAGATGCACAGAACCACCAAACATTTGGTGGATGTAAGAAAATGAATTGTTGCCTTGGCCAGGTAGGCCAATGGGTTAAAGCATCATCCCCATACAACAAGGTTGAGGGTCTGATCCCCAGTTAGAACACATACAAGAATCAACCAGTGAATACATAAATAAGTGCAAAACAAACTGATGTTTCTATCCCTTTCTCCTCTCTCTCTCTCTCTCTCTAAAAATCAATAAATGAAAATTGTTTATAAGCTTTTTTTGTTTGTTTTTAGAGAAATGGTATTTAATTTTGATTCTTCATGTCAATAATAAACACATTTTTATTATGCCTTGATACAACTGTATTTGACAAATGATAATCTCCCAAACACATACTTTTAGATGGTTTTCAAATATTTAAATGCTTTCAATGGTGTTCTCTTAGTAGTGGTAGTAGTAGTAGTAACAATAATAATAAGTTATGCTGATTAGTTTCCCCTCATTATTTCAAAGCTTGAATACTTTGTTTGGCTGGTTGACATGACACAGTTTCTTGCTGGAGGCAACATGTCATTGGCCCACACACTAATCTTTTTTCCACTCTGATTTTACCCATTTCTAGGCTGATTATATAAACAGTAAGTTGTTGTCTTTTTAATTAAGTTAAAGTGACACATTGCAGGTACTTTGTAATCATTTGAACTTATCTCCTAAATAGGTCTTGAATCATCTATACACAAAAGAGAATACAGTTGTTCAGGCAAGGCCACTCTAGAACAGTATTTAAGGTAAGAAGCCCAAGAGTCTTCTCCAGGTCTGCATGGACGGGATGCGGCCAGCGATTAGGGTGAGAGGAGACACAGGAGGGGCAGGGGGGAGAGGCTGTGCTTACCACGCTTGTTCCACTCGACATTATGATTTTCATGATAAAGTGTGCAATAATCTTTATCTTTTATATTTAATTTAATGGCCTTGGAATCCAGAGAAGCCACAGGTCTCATTTATCATGTGGCAAATATCAGCCTCTTCTGGTACAATTTTTTTGTGCAAACGACAAGTGAGACAAAATTAAAAATAGGTCAGAAGGCTTTCCATTAGAGTTCTGTAAAATTATTTTTCTTTTTTATTGAATCTGTCGGGGTGACATCGGTTAATAAAATTATATAGGTTTCAGGTGTACAATTCTATAATACATCATTATATATTTTATTGTGTGTTCAGCACCCCAAGTCATGTCTCCTTCCATCACCATTTATCCCGCTATGCCCTGTACTACTTCCCCCCACACCCATTTCCCTCTGATAATCATTAGACTGTTGGCTGTGTCTATGAATTTTTTTTATCTTGTTCACAAGCTTTTTCTAACGCAGTTCCCTGATGGCTGAGTCTTCACCTTCCCACTTTCCTCTTTTAAAGAGCTATCAGACCAAAAGAATCTAACTGTATTACAAATTATGAAACAACATGACTGAAGTGGGTGAGGGACAAAGGTATTGATCTAAGTAACTCTGGAAATAAGTGCAATCTGTAAGACCAAAAGCAAAAGGAACTATACCTAAGTATTTTACTGGAGTTGATAGAAATGCTTTCCATAGACAGATGAGTTAACAACTCTGAAGCCACTATCCATGTATACTGGAATTAAACAAGTAAATGCGTGACAGATGGCAGGAGCCTGTTGGAGTGGGAGGTCATAGACATGAAGAAGAG